TGAACCAGAGGCACCCTGAGGAAACACCTTCAGCTTTTTTTCTCCATTTTTTTTCTTTTCTGCCACTCTTCCCCACAAGAACAACTACTGTATGACAGTTTGTCATTAATCGTAGGCACAAAACAACAGTCCCTTTCAGCCCCATTTATTCTTTCCACCTGATTTTTTCTTGTTTCAAGTATTTTCAGGCCACTTATTTAAGAACTGGGCTCTTTGTCAGAAGAATTAGCTGTCCATGACCTAAAAAATTCCCAACTAATCATGTGTGACACCGCCTCCAAGACCTAATGGTGCTATTTAAGGCAGAACTGGTGCCTCTTTCTTCAGGGTGGCTTGGTGAAATCAAGAGGTGCTAGCTGTCTCCACTCCCAGAGCTTTTTCCCTTTGCCTCCTCTCTTCCTCTGCAAAGGTGATGGTCAGAGTGCAGAACTGATCACCCACATATCACTAGCAATAAATAATCTCCTTTCCATTGTACTGTAATTAAAATCTGTGTGCTAAAGAGAGAGGAGAATTGAGAGTGCCCATGACTTGGAGTGATATATGCACATCCATCAAGGGGGCACCAGAACGGTGTTTAAAGTCATGCTACTAATAAATTGGTTGTGATCATTTAGTTTTACTTTTTCTCATAGGTTTACTTATTATAAAATAAAAGTACACTATTTAAGTACAGTGTTTTACTGTTATTTTGAGACTTTACTATAAAAGGGACAAAAGAATAATGGAGTATTTTCCCCATCTTAAGTCTTTTTGATGAATACATACATATAAAAGAATAGAATGAATAAGGATTCAAAATATGTAATGTATAGCTTGATGCGAAACAGAAATGTAACTATTTAACATAAATAATTGCAGTGTATTGATTTTAGGCACAGCAGTAAAAATTGTCTTGTGTAATTCTTTAGTTTTTATAATGAGTTCACATACACAAATGATATGTAAACACCCTTGTATTATTATTTTTCTCTATTTGTGAGTGACTTGAGGGAAACTCAAAGAAATTAAATGACTTGATTGAAGTCACTCCCCTAGTAACTGGAGAAAGTGAGATATGATCCTTAAGATCTATGACTTTAAAAGTGATGCTAAGGCAACTACCACAGCAGAAACAATAGCCTGATATGATCATGTGACCGCTACATGATAATGTGAAAACACAAGAAGAGAAGACATCTGTTTTTATTTTACTCCCTAACATTTCAAAATTTACATTTTGGATATATGGATGGTACGTGTGTGCATGCATGCACATGTAGGAGAGAGAGAGAGTGATCACACAGTAGCATACACACATGGAAGGGCACTATGTTTGTGAAAGTAATTAAGGTCAACTTTAGCAACTCAGCAAGCTAAATGGCTAACATGATGCGAAGTATTTTATGTGCATTAACTCATTTCATCTTCAAAACTATTACTATCATCATACTCCAGAGATAAAATTGAGATGAAAGAAAGTGAAGAAATGTTCCTGTAGTTACACAGCAGGCCAGTGGTAGAACAGGCCCTTCTAAAATTCTATTACTCACAATGATTAACTCTTAGCTATAGTCCCTACAACATGCCAGCCGTGGTAATAGGTATCTGTGCAACCTTCCAGTGGCCCTGCTGGGTGGATTCTATCATCTTCTTCTTCACAAATGAGGAAATTGAGACTCAACAGAGACTACATAATTCACTAAAGAGTCCTAAACTATTGGTGAGAGAGGCAATTTATCCACGTCTGATGTGGAATACTTTGATCTTTCCTCTACCCCTCAGAATTTCACTGTAGATTAGTTGGGAAGATGTGTGGGAGGTAAAAATCTTCTGATACATCGATATGTCAGTCATAATATACCCAAAGACCATTGGGAAAGGCATGTTGACGTGTGTCCATGACCCTGACATTGTGCATCCTCTACTTTCAGGAGCTCCGGAATGCTCAAAGTGAGCAGCTCATGGGCATCCGCCGAGAAGAAGAAATGGAAATGTCGGATGATGAGAACTGTGACAGCCCTACTAAAAAAATGAGAGTCGATGAATCAGGTAATGCTGACATCTGCCACCTACTCATGAGATATCCTAATGATCTTCCAGTCTTCTATGGGGAGTAAGCATTGAGAAATGGCCTGTAACTCGCTTTTATTTGAGTTATACTAAATTTTCATCTTTGAGTGACTCTGCCTTTTAGTAGTAGAATTTTAAACGTCTTCTTAGGAACATAGTGATTTAAATTGTTCCAGTTGTTTCTCCATACATAGATTGGGAGCCATTATACTTTTTCAGTGAAATTTTTGCCTATTCCCATAAAAATCCTTTTCCAGAGTATAGCAGCCACAGTGGATGCTAAAATATAGATAAAAGAGCTCAGGCAGTGAGTCAGTGTATTTTTTACATGGGAATTGTTTAATCCCTGGAGAAACTTTCTAGACCCAGAGCCAACATGCTAGAGAATTAGACATCCCCCACCCCCCAAATTCAGTCAAAGGGTGGCCCGATTTGATACTCTAAGAGGGGACATCACTCAAAGAAGTTCAGAGTGAATCTACTTTCTGTGTTCTGCCTAACCTGAGATGCTGTTTTAAAACTCTCCTTAAATTATATGTAAATTCTTTGATATTGTAAAAGCATGCCAAGGAAATGCTCATTCAAAACTTGAGACTTAAAAGGAGAAAGGTTGTCCAAGGAGAAGGGTGTTGCTGTCTAAAGGACCTAGGAAGGGCACTTGCCAAATAGGAAATTTGAGAGATGGTGTAGGTTTTACATATGTCTCATACATACACACATTGCCCAGGCTTTTTAACAGATTGCAGGTGACCGAGAATAGAAAGAATACTGGCTCTCTGTTAATTTGTTGGTAGAAGCCAAATTCAAGATTCCAAAAAGGTCAGGTCATTCAAACTGCAAAGCAGTGAAGATGCTCTCTTTCTCCTGGACTTTAGAGTAGAAGCCTAGGGACAAAAACGATGATGGGGGGAAAATGTTTTTGCACATGGGCATATGCAGAAGGGCTTGATTTTCTTAAAACAATAGTTCTTAAAATCTGTTAATTTGTTGGTAGAAGCCAAATTCAAGATTCCAAAAAGGTCAGGTCATTCAAACTGCAAAGCAGTGAAGATGCTCTCTTTCTCCTGGACTTTAGAGTAGAAGCCTAGGGACAAAAACGATGATGGGGGGAAAATGTTTTTGCACATGGGCATATGCAGAAGGGCTTGATTTTCTTAAAACAATAGTTCTTAAAATGGTAACATTAAATGTTTTTGCACATGGGCATATGCAGAAGGTCTTGATTTTCTTAAAGCAATAATTCTTAAAAGTATAGTCCCTGGTCTGGTAACATTACCTAGGAACTTATTAAAAATGTAAATTCTCAGACCTCACCTAAGACCTCCTGAACGAGAAATTTACACAGGGTAGGGGTGAGGGGATTCAGATCCAGAAATTTGTGATGTAAGCCTTCTAGTATTTTCTGGTGCATGCTAAAGTTCGAGAATCATTGCCTTAGAAAATTTCCTTTTCATCCTCAAATTCCATTCATTTAAATCTTTTAAAAGTTTAGCATGCAGGCAGTCATCATACCACTCTTTTCTGAAGTCATATATCGTTTGTCTGAAAAATAAACCTAGCATTTATGTGTCAGTGTATGTCCTTTCTAAGCTGACCATCAGATTTCTCAGGACTGCTTTGTTCATCAGTTTTGGAGTTGTTTATTTGGGGAGATGACTTTTTTTTTTTTTTGAGAGGTTTTTGCTACAGAGTGTGTGCACTCGCCAGAGAGAAAGAGAGACAGAAAGTGAGAAATCACCCCTCAGAGGGGATGGCCATGCTGCAATCCCTTCTCCCCCATTCTCATCTCGGGATTTTGGGCACATGTACACATGCATATGGCGTGAGTTTTTTAAGCCACTGGATCCAGGACTCAAACCGCGGTTGACTACATGGGAGTTCAAGCGACATAGCCATTACGCTAACTGCTGGTCCCAAGATCACCTTTCTCATAGCATTTCTATTCTATGAGCCTTCCTATATTAAAAGAGAGGCACCAGCATTAGTCTGATTTTCTTATATTCAGTGAGATCCTCAGATAAATAAATAAATTATTTTTCTCAAAAAACTTTCATTATTTTTAAAGTTTCTAGATGAGGGGCATGTTTACATGAAACTTGGAATCTTAACATCTTTATAAGGTAAGTATAGAAGAAAATAATTGAGTCATTAGAAATTTTGCTTTGAACTTATGGCTATGTGTGTGTGTGTGTGTGTGTGTGTGTGTGACATTCCTTTTAAAAATCCGTCAGTTTCCCAAGTAAGATGTGGGCATAATTTCATAGTCTGCTTAGGATAGGACCAGAATAATAATGACTCAGAACAGTATGCTCACTGAGAAGGTCTTACAAACCAAGACAACAGGCATATACTTACAGCATGGGCATTTGACTTCTGCAGAAATATATGCAGAGAGGTCAAAAACTTTTCCCCTCAGCAAGGACCCCACAGGACCTCTCTGGAGGTTTGCCCAGTGAACCCTCTTCCCAGACGCCGCTTGGTGTATTCCCCAGGCATCTGATAAAAGCATCAAGTAAAACCTGAACTTTGGAAAACTTTCACCAGGCCTGGTACTTGGGCAGCAGAATTAATGAACAAAATGCAGTGCATGTTGGATACCAGGTGCAAAGGGAAAGATGAAAGAGCTGGAGTTCAAATGCCAGGCCCCGAGAAGTTCAAAGCCTTTTTCGTGCTTTTCAAAACGAAATGGACCAAAGAACATAGCGTGTGGTTTCTGAAGAAAGCACAGGACTGATTAAAGGGAAGGGAAAGCAGCTAACCTTTTTTATTCCATTTGGCCCTGGAGATCCTGCCAAAAGGCAAGCAGTTGTTTTTCTTTCAGCAATGCACGTTTAGAGGACACAATCTGACAGCAAGAATTCCCATCTGGTCTTTTGACCAACCTACAGACAAATCCCCGCTAATTGATGCTTGAAGCAAGGGACAGAGGCCCATGTGAAGGAAATACCTTTCAGGAGAACCTCCTTAGGTGAAGCATCACTCATTTTTAGGTACCAGTTTGCATCTGCCAGTCACCACTCCAAATGCAACTCTCTAAATCACCAACAGAGGAATTGCCAGATACTGAAATAGAAGTGAAACTCTCTGCCCTAGAGGAATCCCTTAACCATTCTGTCTCTACTAAAACAGTGAGATTTTGCTTCAGACTTTTTGTGTAGTAACTGGCGCAGGTATTCTCGGAAATTCCAGGATAGAATATTCTTTGAGGATATAGTGAGGCCACACCTCACAGAGAGCTCAGACTACAGACTCCCAGTGCTGGCTTTGTTTGTCATCTGCCTACTGGCACCAAAACTACTGTGCATGGGTTTTATTTCTAGGGAGAAACAAAGACAAGTAACTTTGGTTTTTAGAAAAGGCACAATTTATCATGTAAGGGTCTAGTTTTATTTCCTTGGATTTAATTTTTTTAAATAATCCAAATATTTTGGGACTAGTATATGTCATAATGGTAACGTCACTGGGCTCCCATATAGTTGACCACAGTTTGAGTCCTGGACCCGGCAGCTTAAAACTCACACTGGGTCCATATGCATGTGTGCCCAAAATCCCAAGAGGAGATGAACGAGAAGGGACTGAGGCATGGCCATCCTTCCTGGGGGGATGATTTCTTGCTTTCGGTCTCTTTGTCTCTCTGGTGAGCATACGAGCCCTATAGCAAAAAAAAAAAAAAAAAACTCTCAAAAAAATTAATATACCTCTGCTTTTCTGGTTATGAAGAATATTTCATTGTGCTTTTGCTTTTACCACATGTAACATGTCTGGCTGAAGTTTTTCAGTATCTCTATAACTACAATGTAATTTTGGGCAGGTTTTTTTCTTCCACACATCAGTTGAATCTTAAAGGGTAAAACAAGTTTTACTGTAGCAAAACTAAAATGATTATAAAAGTGGAAATGAATTCTGTTAATAAATTTAAAGATCATGAGATATTTACTGAAGCATTCATTCAAGAAGATTGCTATCTTGCTCCAAAGCCCGTGACGATATTTTGATAAAAGTTCAAATATATTGTTGTTTAGTCTGTCTCCTACTAGACTCAAGACAAACTTTTAAATCCAGCTCTACTCTTCTTTCCTTCCTCCCTTTCTCTTCTTCTCCCTTTCTTTTTCCTTTTCTCCTTCTCCCTCACCCCTTTGTCCTCCTTCTCTTTCTCCAGATTGGTGGAAAGGGTGAGGCAGGTGTTCACCAGGAAGAAAGGAAAGAGGAATTCTGTCCTAGATTGTAAAGCCTTACTTACACTGAGGTAGGAGACAGGGATCCTAAAAATGTAGTATAGGGCCCAAGATGGAATCACAAAATGGCTAAGCTTTGATGACAGTTCAGCAGCAGCTCGGCTCTCACTGGACTGCTTACTCATAAGGAAGCACTCACAGTGACTCTAAGATAGCCAGCTAAAGCAGATAAAGCAAACAATTGAGGCTTCTTTCATGACCCACCCAATGTGAGAAAAGAAAAAAGGCCCTTTTTGGCTCAGAAAATTCTAAAAAGGCCTTGGGAACAAATTCACTTATTCACCATCAGAGTCTGATGTTCTATAGACCCACTCCAAGGGTGTGGGGAGGAAAATTCCATGATGAGAGAAAGGCAAACAAGCCCCTCCTGAGAACAGATGAGAACAAAGCTCCCTTCTGATGAGTATAAAAACCCTTCACCTCAGGGCCAGCAGATGGCATAGTGGTTACGTCACTGGTCTCCCACATGGTGAATGTGGTTCAAGTCCCAGACCAGGTGGTTTGAAAATCATGCTAGACATGTGTACATGTGTGCCCAAAATCCCAGGAGGAGAATGGAAGAGAAGGAATTGTGGTATGGCCATTCCCCGGGGAGGTGATTTCTCACTTTCCTTCTTTCTCTATCTCTCTCTCTCTCTCTCTCTCTCTCTCTCTCTCTCTCTCTCTCTCTCTCTTTTTCTACCCCGCTTAGTGAGCACATGTGCCCTAAGGCAAAAACCTCAGTTCCTCTTCAGCAACCTATTC